CCTTTACATATCACTGGGAAAAGCAGTTTGACAAGGAAAAAGAGAGACCCAGTTGTTTTCCTTATTTAGCAGGGTCAGCTATACCTGGCAGCCTTACCCTGAGTTTCACAGCCCTTGGATTGCGGCAACAACAGTTCATGGCTTTAGGACAAGAAATCAGGAAAGACCTAGAGGAGATTTGAGGTGCTACTCAAGCCTTAGAAACTCAGTTAGACTCATTGGCTAATGTGGTGTTACAAAATAGATGAGCCCTTGATTTTCTTACTGCTCAGAGAGATCGCACCTGCCTGTTTTCAGGGGAAGAACATTGTTATTATGCAAACAAATCTGGAGTAATACAAGAATCACTAGATAAATTAAGGTGCTCAGAAGGGAATTTGGTACTGAGGACCTGATATACAGTTTTGTCCTCAGCTTGTTGAGATGGAAAACCTGGGTCAGCACTCTAGTAGGACCAATAGTTATTATAGTACTGCTGCTCATGTTTGGTCCCTGTATAGTACAATGGATATCTAAACTCATACACCAGAGGGTAACTGCTGCCCAACATTATCAAATGCTAATCATGCCCAATAATGAAAAATGGAATGAATTCAGTGAGGGGTGAGGAATTACCCCAGAGACAAGGGATGAATGATAAAGAGAACTTCTGTAAATAGTGTGAAACCTACAAAATGTTAAGGAAATATGGAATAACTCTGGGCTTTTGCTTCTGTAATTTGCTTTGTTTTGCTCGTTTCTTAGGACAACAACACCAGGGTTTCATCATTAACTACAAAGCTTGAAGGCATGTAGCCCCAGTTTAAACTGTTATAAGATTAACAGATGCCAGAGGTGCTTAGCCACATCCCTGGGGTGAGACCAGATGTTTACACTAAGATAACGATCGCCATACCTTACAAGCAAAGTACACTTAGGGTTAGACCCTAACCCTAAGCTTTCTGTAAATCAAATGACTATAAAAAAGTTAAGATGAAAGGAATATCACCAGTCCTGTTTTCCTAACACTGACCCCCAATCTTGTGTGCTAGAGTAGCTAACTAGGCAGATCCTAAAGATAAACATCCTAACCACAAAGATGCTACATTTGGGTTAAAATTAAGCTGTCTGTGACCATGATTGTACAATCTGTCATGGGACCTGAGAGAACTGGAATGTCTTACTGAACTACCTAAAATGAGGTCACGACTGTAAAACTCCTACAAAAGGCAGATTGTAAGCCAGCCTGGGGTCAGTCATAAGGCACAGCCCTTGGTGCAGGCCGACCCTTTGCTAACAAAGTAAACATTTATGTTTTATCCATTTTTGTGTCTCTGTGTGTCACTTACCAGTTCCTTCTGCAACACCACCCATATTATTCCTGGATTTATAACTAAAGGAAATTAAGTCAGCATACAAAAATGATACCTGCATACCTGTGTTTATTAAAGCATTGTTCTCAATAGCCAGACATAGAATAAGCCTAAGTGCCAATTAACATGTGAACGGTACAAGAAAATGTAGTATATATACAATGTGGATTATTATTCATCTAGAAAGAATAATGTCCTGTCATTTTCACCAAAATGAATGGACTTGGTGAATACTGTATTAAATGGAGTAAGCCAGACACAGAAAGACAAATATTCATGTTCTCTTTCTTATGAGGAGGCTAAAAAAAGCAAAAAAAAAAAAAAAAAAAAAAAAAAAAAAGTCAACCTGAATGTAAAATAGTGATTATTGGAGGTTGAGAAGCAAATGTGGTCAAAGGGAGGCTGGATTTGACCAGCGAATGTTGGGAGCAGTTCTACATAATTTGGGGGGAAAATCATTTCACAATTAAGTTATGAGTAGGGCTAGTTTCCTGCCTACAGGCCAGCTATGGTATATCCAGACTTAACTCCATTTTTGTCTCTGGTCACAGCTAAAACCTCAATGGTTCTATGATGCTATGATGCTCCAGGGCAGGACTGCATCAGCTAAAGACATCCTGGGGAGGGACAAATTCCTAATCAACATGAATTCTCATGACCTAGGTTCTTCATCTGAATAATTCTTCATTGTTCTAGGATTATGACAGCCACCCTCTGAGTCATTTATACTCCCAACGTATGGAATAAAGGTAAGGCAAACTCAGAGTCTTTTGTCTTTGCTGCCTACAGCAGAGTTGATCAGGCTCAAAGCTTAGTTTTTCTCTAAATCTCATTTTCTGTCTTAATTCATTACTTTTCTTTGTGCTGTCATGGCTCTTAGGAGAGTAGGACTCACTGCAGAGGTTTTCTGTTTCCTATAAGGGCAAACTTTATGCATGTGTGGAAATAACACACTGAAGCCTATTATTTTATATAACTAGTACATGTTAATCCAGGACCAGTTTTAGGTTGTGTTGCTGGGAGTCAAACAGATACAGGAAACACTGCTGGTCACCAAATCTAGCCGAGGAGTTGAGCCACACAGGAAGAGAACAGGCCAGCAGTAACTGAGTCCTAGACACCACCTGGTGATGATACTGCGGGTTCAGTCATTCAAGTGAAACACATTCTTCTTCAATGCTCCAATTAAATATAACCTGTATGATTATCCTAATTTCTTTCTCTCCACCCATGGAAAAGAAATATGAGACTCAGAGAGGTTAGGTAGCTTGCTTCAGGTCACCCATCAGTTAAGCCTGCCTTGCTGCAGACCCACGCGCTCTGATCATGCCACAAAGGCTGAGCATCCAGTAGCAGGAGCCGTAGGACTGCAGTCCCAGGTCCAGCTGTGAAGCACATGTGGTAAGGAGTGGCCTGTCGGGTACAGTGTGATGGGGGCTAGACACTGTGGGGCTGGGGCCTTGAGGCCATTGTGGTGCCAAATAAAACAAAATGGCATCATAATAAGGACTTGTGGATATTACTAAACAATAGTCTGCTGAAAGAGGTAAGAGCAGTCCAAGGAAGAATGAATTTGTAATGGGTTTACTACTCTTACGCTGGCTTAGCAACAAAGCTACCATGATGTTCATGTCAGTTCCCCCAGATCTCACAGAAAAGACCAACAGTGAAGGCCAGACTGCACACGGCAGTGTCATTGATGGTGGCCGGGTCCACAGTGTGGATGGCGCCTGACTTTGTGCATACTGTTGATGAGTACTGACTCTGTCCTTAGTGTTGGAGATGACTCTCTGAAATTAGTGTTGATGGTGACTGTTTCTGTCCTAGTGTTGATGCTAGCTGACTGTTCATACTGTTGGTGCTGACTGACTATTTATAGTGCTGATGGCAACTTTCTGAGTCCTGAGTGCCTTGATGATGCTTTTTCTGTGCTCGCCATTCTTTAGGGGTTGTAGCGATCCCTTAGGACTAGCTCTCTTTTGATGGTACAGGCAGTGGAAACTTTGCAAGTTCATGGTCTTGTTCTGAGGTCTGCTGCTCACAGTATAACTTCTTATTTGATATCCACAGGGAGACTGGAAATGAGGCAGGCGTGGCAATGAGCAGATGCAAGGCCTGTACTGGAGCTTCCTTGGTGGGGTTCAGGATCCCTCAAAGTCACAGGATTCCTCTGGGTGGACACTGGTGTGCTCACTTCGCTCTGGCTGCCTCACCAGACCTTAACCTTACTGCTGCAATCTCTCCCCACAAACTCCCTTGGCCTGGCTGGCTCTGCAGCTCAAGCTGTCCTGGGCTATTTTCATCTGTTGTTGTTTGCACATGTTCTGTTTCACAACATGTCCAGGTGATCCATGTCTTTTTAGTCCTTCACTTGGCATATGCATACTTCGAGTTAAACACTTACTTTAAAACCACCATCTAAATTTCAATACCCTGGCTCTTCATCATCAGAAAATGAAGCACCCTTTGGACGCAGTTATACTCTTTCTTTGTCATGTCCTTCTTATCTGCTACCAAAATTCCCAAGCCCCATGGGCCTTGCCTATATCTGCTTTGCACACAGTAGGAGCTCCACATTTCCAGCAGGATTTCTACACCTTTTATGCCTCAGTGCAGACTTTCTTAAGCTGCATTCCCTATCCCAGGGAAGAATAAGCTCACTCTCTCTCTCTCTCTGATGATATAGCTCTTCCTTCATAGTTCTGTGCTGCTATTGCTCACATAACAACACCCTGGATGGATCATTATCTGTCAGGATAAGTGTAACTGAGCAGAGGACCTAGTGCACAGGAACCATATTTTGTACAGTGCATAAACAGGGCATAGCTTACACTGATCAGAAAGATTTCATTCAAAGTGAGTGGAGCATCTAGTATTCAGATAGGAATCCAGCGAGTATAGTCAATGAGATGTTGACATCACAGCCACTCTGAGACAGTGAGAGCAATGTGCTTCTTGAGTAAACCTCCCTGTGAGCGGAGGAATACTGGGCCCCGAGGCTGTGCCAGTTCCTGAGCTGTGTGTCCCACTCCCCAGCTTGTGCTGTCGCCCTCAGCCTGGGCAGGGTATCTCACAGGCAGAGTCAGGGCTCTGCAGACCAAGCTCCCATCCTAGAGTCAGTGAGGAGCTGTGCTGGGCCTGGGCTTCAGGGGCTCCATTCTGATTTCCGCTGCACAAGGCCAACTTGTAGGGCTCAGCTAACACTGTTGATCATGCTGCATCACCATGAGTGGCAAGGTCCTTCCCACCCCTCATGCAAGAATGTGACCCCAGCACCCACTTACCTTCCTGGTCTTCCCTGCTGGGCTTTGTATGTATGTGCACATTTATATGTATGTATATGTGTGTGGTGTGAATGTATATGTATGTGTTTATGCGTGTACATGTATAAATGTATATATGCACTCATGTATTTTTCCTTATGTATGATGTATGCATGCAGGTGTGTATGTGCTTATATATGTGACCTGTGTGGTGTATACATGCATATAAGCTTAGGTACATGTGCACATGTGCATGTTTGCATGTGGGTCTGTGTGCATGGTGTTTGTATACATTTATTCATATAGCATAGCAAATGTTTAAATTAAAATTTATTGCAATAAAAGACATATTGCTATTAGTCCTCCTCAAAACACTCCCACCCACCTCAGATACACAGTTTTCATTGTTCTTACCACTTTCTGAAGCAGTTCTGGAACTCTTCTTTCATGAATGTCTTTATGAGATATGATTAAAAAATACAGTTAATGAGGGGCTGGGGATTTAGCTCAGCGGTTCTGCCACTTGCCTTGCCCGCACAAGGTCCCGAGTTTGATCCCTGGAACCAACAAAACAAAAGAAAACAAAAACAAAGATGTTAATGCGTTGGCAAGTGCCATCTGTTAGAAAGGAGGCTCATAAGACATTATGGTGTTTCCTTATCCACCTTATTCACTGGATCTGCTACCATGCAATGTCTGGCTCTTCACTAGAGTCAAAGTGACCAGGAGAGGTAATCAATTCTGAATCCATTCAGGACATTGAGCAGCCAAGACAGTGCAACTAAAGATAATCACAAAAGAGGATTTCCAGAGTTGCTGTAGAAAGTGGCAGGAGTGATGGCATAAGGGCATGCAAAGACGGGAAATATTTTGAAGGAAATTCATGGCAATGTGTTTTTTACAGCAATAATTTAAAAATTTAAACATTCATTATATTTGCTGATCACACCTCATGTGTGTATGCATAATGTATATATATGTTTTGTATATTGCATGCATTTGAGTGTGCGTTTGTGTGTGTGTGTGTGTGTGTGTATGTGGTGTGCGTGATTGGAGATGTTATCTCAAGGCAGGTTAGAAGAGTAAAAATGTGAAGAGTAGCTGTATTCATCCAAAGCCTGGCCTCCTTTCTAGACTTCTCCCTAGTCTGCAGCAACCAAGTGCTTTCCAGGTGATGTCCACTTTGGAGGAGTATGTGATGATGAACATTGTTTAATTCCCATTTATCCTGTATCCTGCACTGCTGCCAAAGAAGTCAGAAAGGCAAGAAAAGAGGCAGAGAACACTGCACTACCTTGGGCCATATGGCCACATGGGCATGTCAGTAGGCTGCTCAGACACCCGTGCCAGGGCACAGGGAGCCAGTCCCACACCACAGCCCTGGTGTCTGGCAGGAAAACTTTTATGCTTTAAAAAGAAAGCCTAATCAGGTAAAAGGTGCTCTCAGGAAGGTGTAAAAGGAATAAATTTTTCAACCCTAATTCCATTAGGAAAAAATTTGCTGTAGGATTTGAAGAGCTTGTAGTAGCTTGTAGAGCTTGATGATAATTTAAAGGTGGGCAGAGAAGCTAATAAATTGATTACTAGGAAAGTTAACTTTAATTAAGCATAAAAGAAATACACTGTATTGTTGTAGTTTAATTAGGAAAATAATATACTCCCTCAGAATGAATGAAAGGCCATAATTCAAAAGATGAGCTATTAGAAGGAATTCTGAATATAGCTTTTTCTCAAATTTGTGCCCTCTGCTCTATTCATGGCCCAAACACATTTAGGAAGCACAGAAATTAGCAGAAAATGTCCTTACCTTCTGTTCTGAAGCAGGAACTTTCTGGCCCAGAAGACTGGAAATGAATGCACTTTGAAGAAAAGCAAGTACATGGACCTTGGGCTGGGAAGGGCTAGAACAGATACATCGCTGGGAGAGACAGCGAGTTGTTATCATAACCTTGTGCAAATGTCATATGAAATGAGCTGCATATTTCTGGCATGTGAAGTAGAGCAATGGAAAGAAACATTTTCCCAGGTTCAGACAGACAAGGTTGCTTCTGATGTTTCTGACAATGTTTACAGCAGATTACAGGATTGTAATTTTGCTCTTTTCAAATTCATTTCAGAGTTGCATTCAGTTTTAGAACTAAGGAATTGAATAAACTGGGGTTTCGAGGAAATGATTCTGGAAGAATTTGTTTTAAAATGAACAGCAAATTTCTCAAGACATCTTGGGAACATTTGGCCCATTAATCTCATTAAGAAGAGGGAAATAACCCTATTGTCCATATTTCTCAAGACCTAGCAGCTAAACAGGGAGCTGTGCGCTGAAGCCAACCCCAAACCTTCATGTTCTGCCAAATCTTCTCTGTCCAAAGTTCCCCGAAACCACTGCCAACAGGTCCACCATTCACAACAGAAGCTTTCAGTTTTAGGGTTCGGTGTTGCTTGTTTTCTGTTGTGAGGACTTTCGGGGAAGGGCTGCTGCTGGGATTGAACCACCAGTCTGCGTTTTGTGTGTGGTGGGGATGGAATTTAGGGCCCCACACACCCTAGTGCATGCTCTAAACCTACACTTTCAGCACCAACCTGGATGTTTAAATATGTACTGGGCCAAGTTTGGGGGCAGACCTAGGTCACTGGGGCTGAGGCCAAACCAGTGGCTGTTTCTGAAAACATTAGCTTCTGCCCTAAGCCGAGGAATATTCATAAGAGAGTTGCCTGGAGAGAAGGGGGAGAGTGTTGAGCTTAACTTGTCAGGCAGGTCAGGCAGTAAACATCCTTACACAGAGGCTTCCCCAGGCTGTCTTGGAAGAGAGGTGTCTCTGTCTAGAGCTCAAGGACTGGGGTTCTGGAATAACCCACAAAGCCAGCCATGTACCCACAGCTCAGTATGGGATCCCGCAGCCCCTTTCCTTTAAAAGATGTGGTCAGCATCGTGTATGACAGTGAAACACTGTCTCCAGGAAACCATGTCTCTGTTACCGGGAAAAACAGAGGCAATGTGTCCTCTACCCTCGCAATGGCAGCATGTGTCTGCAAGACCTTTGTCAAAGATCTTTCAATCTGATTAGTAGTTGGGCAAACACGAAACAAAGCTCAGGGGGGACTTCATTAGGTCAGCAGCTGGCAGACCCTGGGGTCTCCACAGAAGGCCAGTTTCGGAGGGCTCCCTGAGTCATGCCCAGGCAGCCCAAGCTCAAAGTGGGGAGAGAGTCCAGGCAGGGAATATTGCCTAAGGGTTTGGATAAACCCCGAATGAGAAGTAAAGAAAGTAGCTTTTGCTATTATAGATTTTTTTACATGCTTCCAATTTTGCAAGAAAACAGAGCAAAAACCTCTTGGAAGAAGCAGAGTAAGACTGGCAATGTCAGTATTTAAGGCCAGAAGGCATGGGTGACAGCCCTAACTCATCCAGGCCTCTAGATCTCCATCTTTGCATCAAGTGGGTTGTTGTGAGGATGAACAGGGTTTTTTTAAAGTACTTGGGAACCATGAAATCATATACCAAGTCCTGTAGTTCTTACTGTAACATGCTCTGGAGAATTTTTGAGGTAGTCACATCTGGTGGGTCTGGGGTCACTAGCCTCCCTCCAAAACTTTTCTGAGCTTGTCTGTATCTCTGATGTAGAAAGAAGAAGAAGAGTCGGAAGACAGTGCAAAGCAAAAGCAAGTTTATTTCAAAAGGAAGCAGTACAAAGACAAAGTCACTCCAAGGAGTGGGGGCACCAGCACTGGTAACCACTGAACACAGGACCGTGGTCCTAGGGGCTAGGTCTCCATCCCACAAGGGTAGCACTTGACTGACTGAATGTCAGGCTTACTGCTAGGGATTTGTGGTTTGTGGGCTAATAAGGAAACCAGTAGGTCTGGCAACCTACACAAGGAGGAGCGAGGGTAGACAGTACTGTCTGCACAGAGGAAGGTGTCAAACCACAACCTGTCAGCTTTTGCTATTCACAGCCTTAAGAGGATTGCAGAGGCTGCTTTCCCCCTGATTCTGTAAGGGTTGTGTCCCTATCTTAGCCTTACCTAAGTGTTCCATCTGTTCCTACAGCAGCACTCATTGTAAAAGAGAAACTTTAGCTAGAGAAATTCGTTTAACTTCTGAACATTTAAAAGTGAATCTAGCAGAGATGCAGACAGCCCTGATGTGGTGACATGAGAGCACACACACTAGTAATTGAGCTCTCTCCTGAGAGGAGTGGAAGACACAGGACTCCTCTATGCTTCCCTGTCCGGTCTTCACCATCTGGCACCCCCGCCGCCCCGCTCAGAGTCCTGACCCCTATGGGAAAGCCAAGGGGTAGGGCAGAGGGACAGACAGGCCTGTGGGAAACAAAAGGAAGCAAGATAGGAGAGGGGTGGAGTCTGTCCCTCAGGTTGGAGGGTTGTGCGGTTCTGACAATACTCAAAATGCTGATTGCACCTTACTCAAGCACCTTTGCCGAAGTATGCTGCTGAAATAATGGCAGCAATTTACATGAAATTTCCTAAAGTTTTAATGTGCCTGTAGTGAGGATGGGGTTCACCTCGACTAGTTGTTTCCTGTTTCTTTACCAGGCCCTTGTTATTACTTGGATGTGGTTTGTGTCTCCACAGTCCTTGAACTGGGAGCTGGGTTCTTACGTGGCAGTGCCGAGGTGGGAGCACCAGGAGGGACCAGGAGAAGGGGTTGTGGCTGCACTCTCTCAGAGGACAGGTGCTATGGAGTGAGCCAGTCAGGTCCTGGTTACTGCGCTGGTCCTCTCAAATAGGGGCTGCTTCCTCCCAAGGCTCCCACACAGGCCCCCTCCCTCCTATACATGCTGTAGTGCTCCCAGCTGCGCCTGCGCTCCATCACCACACTGTGCGGGCTTCCAAGTCTCCAGAACTGTGAGCCAAACAGACCTCTTTCTTTATAAAACATGGAGCCTCAAATATTTTATAGAAAATAGGCTAGGGCAGAGCTTTAGCAATACTGTCTGCGTGAAACCTCCTGGTTACCTTCTTTTGGTTCGCATTTGGTCTGCTTGGCCATCGGGGAAGAAGGCGCCTTATAGTATGCTTGCATCTGTGCAAGTGCATGGCTGGGCCCAGGTGCAATGGACCGTGTCAGAATCAGAAATTGGCAGTGCCTGGGCCTTCTCCTTTTTCTTTTAATGCTGCATCCCCATCTTGGAGGAAATGCAGCTCTGAGTGCAGCAGCCCAGCCTGGGAGCACTTTTGGTGGGCAGAAGGCTCAGCGCCTCTGAGGGCAAAGCCCTGAGCTCACTGTGTGGGATGAAGAGCTGCATGTGTGTGGAGCTCACTCTTTGCCCATCCTGGGCCTGGGGGCTTTGACCATAGATTTGTCATGCTGGGTATGCTGCCCAGTACCTCCCCTCCTCAGTTCCAGGAACTAGCATGCAGGGCTTCTGGGGAGGTGGCAACCACTTCTTCTTGGGGCAGCTTGGGACAAACCCTGGAAAGGGAGAGGG